CATGTGACTTTCAAATAATTCTTCAAGGTCAAACCAATGGTACCATCTTATGGTCCCTTCGAAACCAAACAACTTTTGTCTGAAAAATTTTTCTCTCCCGGGCTTGATTTTCGAGATATTTGATTGGATGGATTAAAATGGTCCACTCTGTATATGTGATCATAAAATTACAATCGTTAATAATAATCGTTCGTGCATTTAGAGACAAAGATATAATTTTGCACGGTCAACAATTTGGCCAGTGATTAGCTTCTTTCTTACGACGATCGGAAGTTTATTGAAACTTCTGTGTACCTTGCAGAGATGTTGTTCTAGCATGTGAGGTTCATCCTTAAGTGGTACATCTAACCGTTGTAACGACGTACACGTACGTACTTAATGAGATTAGGGGCGCATTCGGGCTCGTTGGCTTTCAAGACCGAGCTTTGACCGACTCGCTCGAGTGGCGGTATTGGCTTTTCGTGTACGCGGGCGCTACGATGCGTAACACACCATGGACGCCTACAGGCTCGGCAGCTTGTCGTTTTTATGGATATAGCTTGTATGTTTTTTGCGGAGGTTCTTCGTAGGCGCGTAAGCGCAGCGGCTCCCAAAAGCGTACAACGAACTAGATCCGTCTTAAAATCGCTGGTCGGGTACTCGCTTTCATCAAATTTCATTCATTCCGATAGAATAGGATCAGCACGGCCGTCCTCTGAGACGAAAAGGGCGGCCCACTTTAAACTTAATTTGAATGCCTTGTAAAATGTGTTTGAAAAATAAAATGTGACGTGAGATCACATATAGGAGAAGTAAGGTAACAGAAATGTATGCGAAGGTCGTATTTCTGGGGCGTCCTATGGCTATATTTGCATTTAAAATAGTTTCATTTTTCAATCTGTTATTTTAATACACAATACAAAACTCGATAAATATAATAATAATACACGGAAAGAACGATTTTGTTGAAAGGTCTAAAAATTTTGCTAAATATAGATCTGAAAAGAATTTTTGTTGAATTACCAAAATAATTTGTTGGAACGTTAAAACTGATAAGCATTGCTGTAAAACGTTTTGATATTCTGACAATCATTGTGCGACTTTCCAACAAAATTATTTTTATCATTAAACAAAAATTATTTTCAGATCTGGATCCAGCAAAATTGTTCTTTCTGTGTACATTTTCATTATTACGTTTACAGTGTATTGTAATTATAAAATTAGATTTAAATTTATTTTTATTGTTCTTACATAGCAAATTATAACATTAAGTTGATATTATAAAAAAAAGAGAATAATTTTAAAAGGCTCCGATTCTTTTATTTGACTGAGATAATGAAACTGGTTTCAATAAGGGCTGACAAGTGTAATTTATTTTCAACGTCCGAATGTTCGCGTAAAAGTGAAATTGTTTATCCATGATATGTGATGTGTTCGTGGAATACATAATACTTGCGATATTCCCTGTAACTCGAATGCCTTTAATCTCAAGGAGTTTATTGCTTCTTTACAGACGTATTTGTTTGTTACAGTTAATACACGAGATCTGCAAGGAGAAACTTCTCTTGCACTTCTAGCTTCTTGAACTTCTGGAAATTTCATTAGATGACGATATCTACATATATGTTCGTGAAAATTCTCATACTTGCGTAACTCACGCAAAGAACGAATTACTGCCAGAGATACGGATCTTATTGAAATTTAGAACGTAGTCAACTTCGTTCCTGCATTAAATTGCAGGATCGTTCTTAATATCTTACAAAGTATATAATTAATTGATTACGCGCGTTTTCTGCGTATCTTATTTATTACAATGCATCACTTTTTTATTTTGACATGAAATTAGTAATGTCAATACAGCTTAATTAAAAGGGGTAAAAAGGTTTGAATGCGCATAAACTTGATAAAGGATCGATTCCTGTTTTTTTATTATCTGTATAATGCATTTCAACAGCGTAAAGTTCATCTTCTATTGATATAGAATTCAGCAAATCGAATTATCGCGTTTTCTCGTTAAACATTATTGTAGACATACGTAGCAATAGCAACAATTTCAGAGAGAGAGAGAGAGAGAGAGAGAGAGAGGGAAAATCAATTTGTGAACCATTTCCTACACAAATTGAATAAAAGTTCTTGTTAGCATTTTGACTATAACGGCGAAGCTCATTCTCAGAAAGAGCATATAAGATCAGCTTTATCGTATGTGGAACTAAATTATGATGTGCCGGCTTCTTCAGCATTTTAGTTTTATTTTGCTACTTACAACTGCGCGCCACCACAGCAAGATTATCTTTATTCCGTCGCGCATTTCACATTCTGCTTTCCATATTTTCTGCTTTGCTTAATTTTCAAATTTTTATATTTTAAATGCGGAAATATTTCTAAAGAATCACACTATTTGAAGATGCAACAAATTGAAAATCGATTTTTTGAACATTTTAAACTTTTCTTCTCTCTTTAATTAATTATATTAAAATGAGTAAAAAATTAGTAACGCTAAATAAGATAAATATTATTTTATTGTATTAATTTAAAAAATTCTTTCGTACTTCCGTGTAATATTTATCACAATTTGCAAGAACCTTGATTAATTAACTTTTCTTCTCTCCTTAATTAATTATATTAAAATGAGTAAAAAATTAGTAACGCTAAACAAGATAAATATTATTTTATTGTATTAATTTAAAAAATTCTTGTTTGTGTAATATGCTTTGGTACTTCCGTGTAATATTTATTACAATTTGTAAGAACCTTGATTAATATAGAGATTATATTTTTTTATATGACAGTATTTTATATAAAATAAGTAATACTACTCAAAATTAGGGTCACATATGTAATAAGTTGCTTATGTAATCGTAAGAAGTATATAAAATAATTAGGAAAAAGTACGACTTACATAATAAAATAATTTTATGTATAATTTTATGATAAATATAGAAATAACATTTTCTTCGTCGAATGGTATACGTGCTCGTGATACCAGAATTATGAATGTGTAATTTCAGAGCAATCCTTTCCTGAAAGCGCGAGGGAATCAAAATTACGAGACAAAAAAAAAAAACGTGCCGCGAAGTATAACATCGTATAGCTGAAAATTAAATCGGGCGGTAAAGGCGGAGGCTGTCGTTAAAGCGTCCCTGTGCTCCCTTTTAATCAGGTATTTTACAGCCTGATTAATTGCGCGGAATTGAACCTCTATGTCGCAGATTTCATTGTGCGCAGCTATATTCACGCCGCGCCATTATTCCGGTAACCCTAGAACGGAAACACGGGGCTTTCATTATGTCCTTCGGCGGCGGGGCGCGAGGCGCGAGGAGTGAGCGATCGATCTTGCCTCTTAAACCATTTTACCGAATGTAACTTGTTGCGCGAGGTCGGCGTTGCGTACATACCTATGCATTTGATGTCTATATCGGAAGCGCGAAAATGGTCAGCCTTTCACGTAAAGTTATGTGTGATAACAAAAAATAGCGATTAGAAAAATCTATAAATATTATATTCTAATATCTATGAATCTTTTATTCTAAATTTTCTATGTATACAGTTTAATACAAATTTTTAAATCTTTTCCTTTTATTCCCATTGTATTAAGTGATTTTATTTTATTTAAATAATATGCGTTTTTAGAAACAAAATAAAAGAGAAAATATAACAATTATCTTTTTAATGATCAGTAATAAGTTAATATGTTAAACCATTAGTACAACCATTTTTTTGTAACGAATTTGCGAAATGAATTGCAACGTTAACGTTTTAATTGATTTTAGTCGTGCTTATCAAAATGACAAAATAGCGATTAGAAAAATCAAATCTTCTATGTACAATTTAATACAAATTTTTAAAACTTTTCCTTTTATTCCCATCGAATTAAACGATTTTATTTAATTTAAATAATGCGCTTTTAGAAACAAAATAAAAGAGAAAAGAATATAACAATTATCTTTGTAATGAGTAGTAAGTTAATACGTTAAACCATTAGTACAATCATTTTTTTGTAATGAATTTGCAAAATGAATTGCAACGTTAACGTTTTAATTGATTTTAGTCGTGCTTATCAAAATAGCGATTAGAAAAATCAAATCTTCTATGTACAGTTTAATACAAATTTTTAAATCTTTTCCTTTCATTCCCATTGAATTAAGTGATTTTATTTAATTTAAATAATGCGCTTTTAGAAACAAAATAAAAGAGAAAATATAACAATTATCTTTTTAATGATCAGTAATAAGTTAATATGTTAAACCATTTTTTTGTAACGAATTTGCGAAATGGATTGCAACGTTAACGTTTTTTAGTCATACTTATCTCTTTGATGCCGTTACTGCAAATTGCATCATAAAATTGCTTCGTTTTTCACGTTGATGCTATTCAACGTCTTTTTACGTAGCATAAAAACTGCGAGTTCCGTGTTTTAAAATTATGCGCATTTACGAATTGTGAGAATAAAATCAAATTGCTTTTTCTTTCTCACGAGGAACGTTGTGCAATATCATCTCTATTAGCTTAACGATATTCTATTAAAGATTTTATTTTGCAGAAACAAGGAGAAGTGTACTGAATTAATAGCAATTTAAAAGCTGCACAGCTTTTAAATCCATGTAATTGAATTTGGTGTAAACTTTATAAATTCATCTCCGATCGATTTTAATTAGATCATGATTAATTGCTTTTTCGATCAATCTTTTTTTTTAGCTCCATTTACTTTTAACAATGGAAATATTCTAACAGTGGGTTGATGTTTTAAGGTTGCTAAGAGATGAAATGTACGATCGAAATTCACAGTCTGCAGTTATTTATTCATCACTTTTACATTTGGCATTTTGCCGTGGTACGTATTGCAAGCAGAAGCGTAAAATTCAATATACTGCACTGTATCTATTCGCCTAAATACTTATCGACCCTCAAGCGCGATCGATGGTAGCCGCTAGATTCTATCTTCTCTACCTGTCTGACACGTCCGAGTTGGTCATATATTATTTTCTTCTATTATGTTGCTAATACACACGCAACCGGGATTTTCATCGGCTTCAATTGCCACTTGTGACTGAGAGTTTCCGGAAGTGGTGCTTCCTGAAGTTCACTGTCATCCGAATAAGGGCCATCGCTTAACTCGCTCAAATCACGTTGGCTCAATACGTGAACCTGGATGAAAAAAAAACGGAATATTTAATTACTATTAAATTTAATAAGATATAAGAGGCTCATATTCAAATTAAATCAATAAGATAATCTATATAGAGCTGTTGAGCGCTCAAGCTGGGTGTACGTGCTAATAATATATGTTGATTGCGGTGGTAAACAATCTTTAATATCATATAAATAACTAATATACAAATTATACCGAACGTTTCGACTCTTTTACATAGTGGTCATCCTGAGTGGGAATATAACAAATTAAATGCAAAACAACAACAGCTTGAGAATATCAATTTTTAACACAACAATTTATTGTAGAATCGAACCGTAAATTTAGGTACATGATTTCTGGATATTCAAATCTTAACATGCATTTATCTGTAAGTCACATGGTTTCTAATACAAATGGACTAAGGATGACGCTTTCCAAAAGATCTAGACGACAAGGAAATAATTTTTGTTAAAACGTCAGACAAATATAATGTGCGAGCGAATTCGTTGACATATAATGTAAGTTTTGTATTTAATTCGTTATATTCCCACTGAGGATAACCGCTATGTAAAAGGGTCGAAACGTTTGGTATAATTTGTATATTAGTTATTTATATGATATTAAAGATTGTTTACCATCGCAGTCAATACATATTATTGACACGTACACCCAGCTTGGCTCAACAGCTCTATTATTGATTTAAGGGGTTACACCACCTTGACCGCCTAAAAATCAATCGGTAACT